TTTTATGTTTCTACTTATTATGAGACTTAAATATTTGAATCATGTTAGTGTTTTATGACTTATGTGTTGAAATGTTTGATTTTATTATTGATGATGCATATTTATTGTTTACATTATGGGTGAAAAATAATTTGAAAAAGAGAAGGTACAAGCTAACCTCACTATTTCGGTTTTGTATGAAAAACCGAACCGAACCGAATTATAATTCGGTTTGAACCGACCGAACCGAATTATAATTCGGTTCGAATTCGGTTTGAGGTTTGATAGAATTCGGAAACCCGGTATGCATAATTTCGGTTCGGTTTGAACCGAACCGACCGAATGCCCACCCCTATCATCAACTAGTTGGCCTCAATTCCGATCTTTCTCCTTTTTTTTGCATCTTGATTGCGGATGAAATGAAACGAGACAGAAGACAAGTTTTTTCTCTCCCTCCTTCCGTTTTTTTTATCTTTTAGCCTTTTAGGTAATATATATTGATATTATCACACTATACCATTTGGTATTGTGTGATAATGAAATCTATATATTGGTATTACCACATTATACCATATGGTATTGGGTGGTAACGAAATATATATTGATATTACCACACTATACCATATGGTATTGGGTGGTAACGAAATATATATATTGATGTGGCAAATTCATACCATATGATATGCTCTTATTGCTCTTATTTAATACCAGTCTATACCATATGGTTAAAGATTAAGAGAAGGAAAAATTAAAGATTTTCCGAGGAGAGAGAAGGAGGCACTGATGTGGTCTCAAATGTCAGCGTCAGGGGACTGACACGTGGGGACATGGCAAGGGGTTATTGACCCATCAGTTACTGACCTGATCTGCTCCGAAAAAGAGGAACTCTTAACGTTTACCCATGGAAAATAGAAAATGGCAGCTAGATTATTTTGTTTAACTTTACACCCCGACATTGGGAGAAGCTATGGTGCTAACCCCCTATGGGGTTAGCACCATCCACTCTTAATTCTAATCTAATGGTTTAGAAAACACTAAGGGTAAATTAGGAATATTTTGCATAAATATTAATTTCCGTTTTTTAATTTATTCTGTTTTTGTTACTGGGCGGATTTTAAGTGATTGGGACGGTTAAGATTCCCGTTTATTTAAGAGGGGTGTAGTGTCTCCATTTTTATCGGATTGGTGGATCGCAAGCGAGGGTGGTTGAGAGCAAAATTGAGGGGAAGACCTTATATCAATTGTCGCCAGCCCCGTCTGCAACGGCGGTGAGAACGATCTTTGTTGATGGGGACGGAATCCGAGGAAGTTACTGTATTGATTGGAGAAGCGTTAATGGAGGAAGAGGAAACGGTGTGGGACCTATCGATCATGCCGGTGGAAGTGCGAAAACTCAACAGGGAGATCATTAACGAGGAGATCTATCCTTGAAGTGTGCGTATATAATCAGCACCACCCTATATTGTATTGTCGGGCATGAAAATTTTAAGATGGAAGCTTGAAGAGAGTGTATGTAGTGTTTCCATTCCGGGATCGTAATATTTTTGTAGTAGTGGTTTTGCATTGGCGTCGAAGGGTTTGGGAGTCATTGTGTAGTGTTTTTGCATTGGTTGGAGGGATCAGTGGCGGACCCAGGGAGGTTTAGGGGTGTCCCCGGACACCCCTAAATTTTGGGAAAACGATTATCCAACCCTCGGTGGTAATTTACGTATGGACAAAAAAAAAATTGATAGTGAGGGACACCCCTTAAATTTGAAAAAATGATTATCCTACTGTCATTTGTGTACAGGAATATAAGTGCTAGGTTGGATAATTCAAATCTAGAACACTATTATTATTAATAAACTTAATTTCTGTTGAGCTAAACTCATTTGTTGTTCGATTTTGAACAATGTGTAATAGTAAAATGACATTCCCTATCTCTAATTATTTTAAAAACCTAACAATTAAACTAATTTCAAACTACCCTTAATTTGTATTGATTTTATGATTGTACGACAAGTGTTAAAAGAGTCTTTCAGCTTTGGGTTACATCAAGAACAAGTTTACAAATCGAATATGCGATAAGTTCGTGAATGATTGTCTAGCTAGCAGTGTATATAGAGACAATTTTTTTAACACTATAGACACCAAGTGTATTCTACAATTATTTCCGAATATGAAAACATATCATGGACTTTTTTAACTTATACGAGTAAGGTATTTTCATATTTACAATTTTATTTTTATCAATTATTTTTATTTTTATTTAATTTATTTTTAAAAGAGGACACCCCTATAAAAAATTCCTGGGTCCGCCACTGGGAGGGATAGGTTAGTAATCTTTGTTGTAGTTACGTGTGAGACTGTCGTAGTTGTTTTTCCATGTGTGTAGCGTTTTTCTTAAAAGTGGTTTCATTCAAGGTAGCAATGTGATAGTGTATCGATTTGCATTTGTGTAGGGGTTTTTTTTCGTTCTAGTGTTTTTGCATGTCTGTCGACAATGGAACAATGCATTAGTTATGAATTAGCCAATTAGGAAGTCTAAGAGCAACAATATATAATCACCACCATATATTTGGAAAAAAACACCACATACAGGCAAACTACAATCCATAAAGAAACATTATAGGGTCTGCATCAATACAAGAAACAACCACTATTAAGAACTGAAAGTGAATACTTCTTAAATGGAAATGCGTAACAAGGGAAGCACAAAATCACTACTACACCTTCGTTTGGGAGGGCTATCAAAATAATACTAACCGAACACGAAACCACTACGAGGTGAACACTACTAACCAAAAAAAACAATCACTACCAACCAAAAAATGACTCAATTCGTGTTGGGGAGGGTAACCAAATATGAATCACTATGAACGAAACAATACGAGCCACAAACGGAAATACTACTTTCTGAACTTTTCAGACAAATCACCTCCTCATCTGCAAACTGAACATCGTCGGGATAAACAAAAGGTTTGCATTCCACTCCGATTAAAAGAAGAAGAAAAACAGGCCTTGGATCCAGAATCCTACACGCAACAATCCTAAAAGACAGATCTTCAACCAACAATGAAAACATAAAGCGAGCTCGTCGACGGAGCTAACGATAGCGACTAGGTGAGGGGCGTCAAGCAGGACGGCGGCATCGAGGGCAGTGCAGGCGAAGCCATCCCCGACTGAGCTCACGACAACGATGGTGTTAGGGACATTTAGGAGGGCGGCGGCGGCGAGGGCAGTGCAGGCGAACACATCCCCTACGAAGGCAACTGGCGAGGGAGGCTTCACCGACGGGAATCGGCGGGTTGCTCCTCTCTGATGGCTAGAGAGAAGAATAAAAACTTATCCAAAAGAAAATTTACTTGACTATTGGGATATCCCCCACCACAAAAATCCCAATCGTTTGAACCGGCTGAAATCACGACATGACATTAGCTAATAAACACAACTTACAAAAACACCCCTGACTATTAAACACCCTTTATTTTCCGAAATTAAAAAGGAAGGGAAGCTGGCGGGTTAGGATGGTGCTAACGGGATAGATGGTTAGCAACCCATCTGATCCCCCGGCATTTGATAATTAATTAGCCCGTCTTAATTAGAATATTCAAAAACGAGTAGTCATGAAAAACAGTAAATCTGTGAAATCAGACTACTGCAATGAGACAACCAGTTACTCCAAATGCCAAAAAACAACACATGCATGCACATCGTGCGCAATCGATCATTTCTTATATTCCGTGCAAACAAGAACAATTTTCTTAATTTGGCACGTACCCTTTGTTCCCCACGGAAAATGCCTATCTACTTCCATAGGGCAAAAACCGAGATAATTAATTACCTCTATAAACCTCTGCCATTTTCTAGCTATAAAAAAACCCTCCCCTAGTGAAATCAATCAATATTACACATCGAGAGAAGCCCCAAAAACTCGAGATAAATCAATTAACATGAAGAAGCCAGGTTCAGCCATAGTGTTTGCTGCTGTGGTTGTCGTAATTTTGGGCTATTGCTGCAGCGGTACCACTACTGCGGCCGAGGCGGTTTACGGCTGCAACGTTGACGGGTTCCACAGCGCGGAACCATGGGACGTGGCCAAGGGCAACCTTCTCGTGGACTTGACATACAACACGTTCTGGCTGCCCGATCACAGCTACTGGACCAACTACACCGCCGGCGTCATCACCTTCTTCTACGGCTACGCTTCCTGCGCGACGACGATGGTGTGCGACGGCGGCAGCGGTCAGCCGTCGGCCGAGTGTTCCACTACGTACGATCACTGCGTGAAGTGCCTTAACGACGCCAACTATTATCTGACGACATCCTGTTACGGAAGGATAGGGGGCCACGTCACGAACAACAACGGCGTGCTGCAGTGTTACATGCGATATGAGCAGACCAAGTTTTGGTAGCTAGCTAGCTATAGATATGACTTACCAAATATCGAAACTCGAAATTTCGAATAACGTTCTAAACTCAATCTGATTTTGGTGTGATTCTAATTCCAAAATAAATTCGGTATTTCCATTTTAAAATATTTCGGTAGCGGTATTGGTATTTTTAAATATTAATTTACCGTATCGATTACTAATTAAATATATACATAAATAAATCATTTGTTTGAACACTCTAAACCTTTGTTTATGGTGTGGACTTGGAGGCTTCATTTCTTGATTGAAAATCTTAGTGAAATTTCAATATGTTCGTATATTTTTTTCGTACAAATCAACAGTATAATTTATAGCTGAAAAGTAAAATTGCACCCCCATTCAAAATTTCCTGCACATAGAGTGATTTGAGGAAGCTGATGTGGCAGAGTGTTAAGCGGAAAAAAAAAGAGAGTCCCGCCTGATTTCGGTGAGCTGACGTGGATGGGATTTCAGCCGACGGTTTCCCTCCCCGCTTCGGTTGATGGAGGTTGCCTTCTGAATTCCGTTTTCTTCTCCCCACGTTCTTCTCCCAGACTTATTTTCTTTTTTCTTCTCAAAAGCACAAGATTAGCTGTGGCAGTCGATTCTCTGTACGTGCAGTTCGACCGATTCAGCTTCGCGATTCCATAGTGTTATGCACCGCCACTAACTCTTCTGCTCATATTTGTGCCTCTCTCAACCCTTTGATTCTGCTGAACTTTCCTCTTCCACGATCCCTCTTTATCCATCGCACGAACTCTCTCTACGCTGGCATGCATCGATCAATGGTGTCTTCAGTCTTAATCGAACATTGACACTGTTCGACTTGGGTGGAGTACTTGCTTGCTTCTCTGTACGTGCAGTTCGACCGATTCAGCTTCGCGATTCGCTTCAATTCGGACTAACAACTACATCGAGGTATTCCCTTGGTTTCCTTATGAACTCCGATTTCTTCTCCCCACTTTTTTTCTTCTAAAAAACACAAGCTTGCAGTTCGACCGATTCCTCTTAGTGATTACGGTGCTTGCGATTCGCGTCAAGGGACTTACAGCTCCGTCGAGATATTCCGTTCATAGGTGGTTTGTATTTGGTTTTCATCTTCCTTTTACCTCGCGATTCGGGCCAATTGAAGACTTCACGCCCTGGAGATTTGTCGCCAATAGAAGGTTTTCATTCCCACTTGATTTTTTCAGGCTTCTAACTGTTGCCTTCATCGATGGGCTCTATCTCAATCCGCTCGCTCAATTCCGACCAGTGGATTTTGGGGCGCGACTCTTCACTTTTTCGTAGATGGCGAGCGTATCATACTATGGCGTCGAATTCCGCCGGCCGAATTTGGGGAACCTGTACGTTGGTCCATCGAACAATATGTGAAAGGTTTGGTAGAGGTTTGCGGCCGTCTCTGACTATCCTCCACCTATTGAAACCAGGCTCAGCTGTTCTCAACCTCCCACCGCTGTCTTCCCCTCAGATTAGCGTCTCATTCAACAATCAACATCAACATCACTGCCACTGATTACTTAATTAGCCAACAAACACCACCCATCTCCAAGTAAGCTCTCCCTGATTCATCCCATTTGTCTCATTTTCTTTTTTGCTTATATTAGGTGCCTGTGGATTACGAAATTGTTGATCAGAAATATTGCCCCTGATGAGATTTTTTTCTTCAGGATTGGGATTTGCAATTTGGCCGACTTTCTGCGTTTAAGGTTCGTACAAGCTGGATAACTTTCAATCCGAGGAGCCTCTTCATTATTGGTAGTCCAAACCATCTAATTGGGTTCTAAATTGGGAACGGGAAGTCCCTCCTTCAGCTGCTGTGGTAGACGGTTGTAGCTAGATTCATTTTCGGGCTTTTCTACCTTTAAATTATGAACCAAGTCCTTGCATTTGCTTCAGTTTTTTAAGATTTTATTCAAGACAATTCTTTCCTACATGTATTTACATATCACTAAGAAGAGAAGAAACATTCTTATGGAAACTGGAGAGATAAATCTTTTGACTGATCTCGGCTTACCTGGCAGGCAAGGGAAGAAGTGGAGCCGCTCAGCAGCAAGGTTTCTTCATTGGTTGAAAGGGTCAGTTTGGGAATTGGGGTTTCAGTTGGAATTTTGGTTGGAAGTTTGAAGAGTGACTTCAATTAAGTTTGTGCTTTAATGGTGATGATGCTAATGAGGTCGGTTGTCCTGAAATTGGAGTTTAGCAGTATCAGCCTGTTGTTTGATTTTGGGGTTCCTTGATCTCAGTTTTTCTTGGCAGTTTGGTACCATGGTTTAAATCTCTTTGTTTCCAACTTTGAATTTGAATGGTTAAACAACAAATAATGAATTGAGTTTCTTGCCTATATGTTCTTTCCTCAAGGTTATTTGAGCATTATTTGGTCTGTTTAGAATCATCAGGAACGTGTTTGATTGGTAGTCAAACTTGGTTGTGATGAGACAAAACCATTAGGCAAAAGCAATTACTTCCGAAGTAGCATATAACTATGCATTAACAAAATTCTCTGGTTCTGTCTGCAGATGGATTTTTTATAGATAATGGGATATGTAGATGGAAACATGTAGTGTTGGAATCTTCTGATTGTTTATGTTGCCTTAACAAGTCACCATCTAATCAACATCCTCTATTTTTCTTATGTAAGAGCATCTCCCTGATAAATATTGTGTATGTCCTTATCTTTCTCCAGGGGGCAAGCTTTGGATCCCTATATGATATGGGATGATTTGGCAAGTTTGCAAAGGTAAATTCATGAACTCACTTTTGATTTGTTAATTTTGCAGAGTTTTATGATTGTTTATTGCTCTTATTGTATATTGTTAAGTCTTGTGAAATGGTGCAAATTTTCGTTGTGGCTGTGTATCACGTTTAGTTACATCGAGCACATTTGGACCTGTTCTTTTGAGTAATTGTCTCTTAGCTTCTGTGGTGGTATGGAGACCTCAGGCGGTGGCTCTAACTTCTCTTCTTATCTGACTCTCAACCTTACAGTTTTGGGGTCATTTTTGCTTCTTAATTGGAGTCAACAAAGGTTACCAGTAGCTACAGTCACAATTGAGTGGCGGCCGATGGGAATTTAGCAACGAACTTGCGACGCAACTTGAAGAGAAGAGGTAATGCAATTGTATAGATTGTTGGGCAACTAAGAAATGGTTTATGTTAAAGGATAAACAAAGCAGATTCGCAGTATGGACTTTGGAGTCCCTGCAATCTGTGATGCATATCTTCCATTAATCACTGATTTATATGTGACGATTCATTTATATTTAGATGCTACTCCTAAACACACAGCTGTGTTCATAATTTGGGAAGTCGGTGTATTTTAAGAGAAAACATTTTTTCATTTGTTGGTTGAAACGTTGGACCTGAAGGACAAAGGAGCAAAAAAGATGTTGTTCAATGCAGAAGGATGAAATCCAAAATGATTTAAACCTGGTAGTCTAAGTGTAATCAAAATAGATATAACTACTTTACCTTTTGTTTGTGTCCTATTATTGTCATTGGCCCAACGACCCTGATCTCTCTATGGATGTAAGGCTTGCTGATCATGGATGAAGAAGATGGATCTCTCCAACGAAGTAGAGAATCTGAAGCTGTGATCCGAATCAGGCCGATAAGCCCCTGAGTATGGCCTCTTCTCTCCCTCTCTCTCTCTCTCTCTCTCTCTCTCTCTCTCTCTCTCTCTCTCTCTCTCTCTCTCTCTCTCTCTCTCTCTTGCTTTGCAGAGACAATCTCACTGTCTTCTACTTCCTTTTCCCACGTCATTGAGGTCGATGATAGCTGATTCGAGTTTCAAACAACACAGATAACTGCTGATGACACATGGTGGAGGTGACAAACTCAAATCAACCAAATAGCAAAGAACTAGAAGTCCTGTAAGCAGTGGTCCATCAGGTCATTTTGTATTTGAGTTTGTTGATCCATTATTTTCCGTCTTTTTTCGTTTGTGCTGTCTTTATTCATCATGGATTTCTTGGAAATTTGCTACCAGAGTCTTGCCGAGCTGCATCTTTAGAGAAGAGGAGGAAATTGGAGTTTATCGACACAGATCCAGGCTGCTAAAAATGGTGAATATTATATTATAATTCCATATGTCGTTGAAAGCTGGAGAACAAATAACCCAAATTAGAGCCTTAACTTATTATGCTTTTCTACTCCTACACATTTCAACATATCATTCATGGAAGTTTTTGGTCTTAGCTGGACAGTATATTTGACTCCATTAGGTTCTATCGTGCATTCTGCATAGTAAAATCACTGGACCAGCACCGACCCAATATTTTCTTCACCATTCACAGCTCCGCATTTTTCCTCTAACTAATGTGGTTCATTCAACTAAAACTTTCTTACTGCTGTTTCCTTGCCTAATTGTTCATTTATCATAGGTGTCATGGTCATTTGCTAACAGGAGTTGTCTGAAACTTGGACATACAGAGCAAGTTAATGGCTGATGTTGACAGATTTCAGTGATTTGCCAGGTAGGCTTTATATTTCGTTCATTTTCACTTTTGTTTTGTGAATTTTGTTCGACCTTTGCCTACTAAATCTTTTATTTGTTGGTTTGTTTTTCCTTTTTATAGCTCGAACTCAGAAACAATGTTGATCGTGATATGATTTTGCCAAATCAATGTGGGTAGTTTCCTTCTTTAGCTGTATTTTATATTGCTTTTATGACGTTGCTTGCGGTGGACAATTAAAATTTTAAGTCCGAAAGCTACGTATATGTGATTTGTCTCTTTTGTTCTTTGTTCTTTTGTGGTGCTTGTGTCTGATTCTAATATTTCGAACACTTGATTCTCATTCTACAAAGAAAGCAACCTGATTATCATGCCCTGCTCCTCTCTGTTTGTCATTATCGATGATTTACTTATGTTGGCTTTGTTGTTCGTTTATTCCTTCGTATGCTGGTAAAAGTTGATTTCTGATGTCCAGTTTTTTTCATTAATTGTTGTCGTCCCATTTTATTAGCTGTTACTTGAAAAACAAGCTCTTCAAAAAATACGACTGCTAACAGCAGTACATTAATGACAGTCTCTCTACTCTACTACAAAATTGACATCTAACTTCACTACTGTTGTATCACCACGACACTTTACATACAAAACTATCTAAATTGGATCAAGCCTCAAGTTTATAGAGTAAGCAAGGTAGCTTTCTGATGTCCATGTTTTTGGCAGAGGAACTTTGTTTTATTAAAGTAATTTATGTAATGTGGTTGATGGATGGGGTAATGCCATCTCTTGCTTTGGCTGCTTATGAGAGCTTTTTTGGTTGACATTTGGGTTGTGTATTGTGATGAGTAGTTGAATGCGTATCATTTTGGTGTGATGGCATTCTATTGTTGAGTTTATATATATATTGTATGCCTTTCTATGGATAGTTGGTGATTAAAATAGATAATCGGGCAAGATAATTTTCTGTGAATTTGAAAGCCATCATTATAAGTGCAGATGTGGTGGTGTCTACGGTACAACTGCACAAGTCGGTTGGTTTGGAAGAATGGTTTCTCTACATTCTTCATGTTTCTTATGGAGAAGCCTGATATTGTGTATTAACTACTAACTACTGGCTTTTGGTCCAACTTTGAGTATGCTTGAGACAGTATTGAATAATCTCATTCAATTGTTCGCTACTACAAGCTAAAGTTACATGTTTCCGCCATCAATGTTAATATCATGCTCAGTTTGGACATCAAAATTCTCAATTGAATTTTCAGGGTTTGGCTTCGGATAAGATTGATTGGGCACACGCAGATAGTTGAATGGCTACTTTCACTCATCATATTCTTCGTTGGCAGGCTTCTTTTGACTTTCTTTGCTATTTAGAAATTATTTATTAACCTTTTTGTCATCACAATTTGTGGTTTTTCTTCGTTTGGGGTTAAATCTGAATCAACTGAAAAATGGCAGCATACAAATTGGTAAGCTTGCTTTGTGACAAGCCCTACTCTATAAATAGTTCTTTCTTTCTCTTATACAAGTGATGAACGGTTTATGGAAGGGCATGATTAACTTTGCGTTGGATGAAAGCTGAATGAACTGGCGGCAATAAGAAGTGTGCAACTTGATTTATTGTTTAAAGAAAGAGACCAAATTGTTTGTCGAAGGAAAGTAAAGGGCCTATAGAAGAAGTTTGGCAATAACAGGTCAATGTGTATCGCAAGGGGATCTTTATGTTTTAGCCTTCGTATCAATGTCCCTTTTATGGGTTTCTTTCCTCCATGCATGCACAATTCAGTAGTGCGGCGAGCTTGCAAGACCCAACAAAAATCTCTAGAAAAGCTTACTTCACGAGAAGAAGCTTCTACTGGGTTTAGATGAAGTAATCGCTTTTCTTAATTTATCAACAACAAAGTTTAAATGTTTCAATTTTTGTACTGGTCTTTGAGTTTCAAGCTTCTGTTTGGAATGATGGGATTTTGGAAGTTCATCAAGTTGTTGCTATTTTAATTACCAGCTTTATAAAGTTGTGAATTTTTTCGTAAAATTTAGTTTTCACAATAATGATTGTATATGTATGTTTGGGCTATGAAGTGTTTTATTAAAACCAAAAGTTAACAGAAATACTTACAAGATTATAGATTTTGGTCATTATACTAGCCTTCAACTATAGTCATAAGTCAATACTAGCTATTAGCAACCAAGAGGTAAATATTAGGTATCAATGAATCAACATTTAATAATTTATGCTTTATTAATTATTATCTTTTTAGTTTATTGTTGAACATAAAATTAATCTCAGTATGTGGTGAAGTTATCTTTCCATATTACAAGTAGGCTAACCCATGGAGTTCCAAATTACTACTTCAATGCATATTGTCTTACTTTCATTTGGAGGTAACAAAATCAAGTTAATAGTACAAATCTTATGAATAATTACCTCTTGAATCATTTATGTAACAAAAAAAGTTAAAATATCTTCTAAAATGTGGGTGGGTGGGTGGGGGATATAGGAAACCGTCAGAGAGAACAAAAAATATAGTTAGTAACATAAATGTTACTTTCCACCATAGTCAGTAAAATATGGGAACGGTTATGTATTTTATACGTATGGGTATTTTACTTCGTCTCAAACTAATGTTACGTTTAATAGTATGTTAATAGTCATAAATATATGAAATTAATTATTTTAAAAATAAATATAAATAATAGTAAAGTTAACAATTTATTTCATTAAATACGGATATTAAACGGGTTATATGGGTTTTATACGTGTTTAGTATGGAAGCCATCAAATGAACAGTAAAAAATGAAACGGCTTGACATTAATATGGATATGGAAGTTTTAAACGGATAAAATATGTACGGGTACATATATGATATACGTGTATTAAACTGAATATTTACTAACTATGCTTTCCAATCATGCAAGAACTATATAAAAGAATCACAAATCATTTAAAATATACACAAATTGATAACACAAAAAAAAAATATTCATCCGACCAACGGGTCGGGTAAAAGCTAGTTCTTTTATATATGCTAAAAACTGAACTTATAACTTGTAACTAAAAGTTTGGATGCTTGTTAGCATTGTAAAATTCATCGTAGAATTTGAAAATATTTGAAGTCCATTCCATTTCCACCCAATAAATTCATGCATGCGATCCAGGTGGCTCGGTTAAGATGAATCACCGATCACCAAAGGTAATATAGCTCAATTGTAAGCTGCCGCGACAGTGAAGGTTTGGGAGGTGCAGATTCCAGATTCGAATCCAAGCGAGGCTCGTTGGTGTTCCTGGAGGTATAAGGCTGCTGGGGGCGAAGCCCTGTTGGCGTCAAAGTGAATGCAGGTGGCCCCCAGGTTTAGTAGGACCCGCTGTCACAAAGTGGTACGTGGGGCGGAGGTTCATGGGTAATAAAAAAAAAAGATGAATCACCAATCTTAATTAGGTAACCGTCACAGCTTAAGTTTACATGGCAAGCATCGGCAGAAGCCTCACTACAAAATTTTGTTCTTTGACGAGATTTTAGAAATGTCTTTGGGAAAATTTGTTAAATTCCACTGTAAAGTCGACGAGGGCTCAAAATGTGAACTCCCAGTTCAAACGATGTCGAGTTTCGACTTGAAACGAGGAGGTTGATGTTGTATTATGATCCAACCAATGAGTTTGGTCGAGTTTTTTTTATTTTTTTATTTTTTTTTTTTGTCATAGATATTCCGAAGAGGAATAGCAGATACGAATATACAAATGACCTTTGCAGGTCAAAATAAGACAAAAACGCTAGACTATAGATGTTGAACCAACGATTAGAGGGCTTGTATTGCCACGATATGGTCAGCCCTAAATTATCTACGAAAAGCGAAATGAAACGAAGTACGTCGGAAGATGATCGCAACACCTGAGCTTCCTTCAGAATGACACCTCCCAGAGCGTGCACCGATTTGTTCGCAATAACCATCCGGCTGATCACCTGCACATCGCCACAACCAATAAACATTAGTCACAAAATGAAAATACACATGGCAATTTGAAGAGTCATGAACTCGATAAAAAAATTTGTGAGTTTGCGAGTTATGCTAGTTAATTTGTGAGTTTGCGCGATTATGTCTGTGAGGCATCCCAAAGCCTACTTAAGGTGAAGTCACGCGTTGTGCTACGTATGTGAAGGTATGTTGTAATGTATGGTTGAT